CATGCCACCAACCTACCCAGGGGGACCCATGCCACCAACCTACCCAGGGGGACCCATGCCACCAATCTACCCAGGGGGACCAGTTCTTCCCAACTTGTTCTACCTCTTCTTGACTGGGCAGCTTCCTCATGGCACTGTGACCCATGTCCAGACTGACTTTGAGGCTGGTAAAGACCGCACCACTCAAGCTGGTTATGAATCATACCGCATGTCTTCAGAAAACCCCACTCAAGGCCAGGTTGCTGTTTGGCAACCAGTCCAGCAACAGAATTTTGCAGGCTTCTAAACTGACTGAAGGGGAAAAAGTGGCTCCAGTAACCTGATCTGCATTTGGTTGTTGAAAGTTCAATAAAAACATTCAAATGAAACCTTTGTGCTATCTTTAATTTAAACTGTTTTTAAATGGCAGCTTTGGGGACATAGGGGAAAAATGCTGACATGGTGGTTTGCTTATCTTCTAGTGAACTGGATTACCATGATGTTGCTTCAGTGAACCAACGCTGCCAGAGCATCTGTGACTCTTGGGACAAGTTGGGAACTCTTACTCAGAAGAGGAGAGAGTCACTTGAGGTTAGCAAGATTAAAGGGACTAAAGTGTGGAGCCAGGTCTTGAAACCGGACTTGTATTGAACTGGGTTGTGGGGTAGCTGCAGCTTTATCCAGGAAATGATTGGCTCAAAACCCATGAGGCACTTGTGCATCTCAGACCTGAAAATGTGTGAAGGCATAGGGACTAGTACCAAAGGTGTGGGTTTTTTCTTTTTCCCCCCTCCCCTGAATGCAACTGGCCTGTTCTACAGTCCTGTTGGGAATATCTGGACAATTAAACTGGGGTGGGTTAATGGCAGCAGATCTCATTTTGGTTTTATTCAGTAAAACATGTTGGGATAATCTGATTAAATTGTGTATTTGCAGCGCACAGAAAAGTTGCTGGAGACCATTGATCAGTTGTTCCTAGAGTTTGCTAAGAGGTCAGCTCCTTTCAACAACTGGATGGAGGGAGCCATGGAGGATCTGCAGGACATGTTCATAGTTCACACTATTGAAGAGGTCCAGGTAAACTTGCAGCACTCCCCTGAAAATTGAGATGAGTATGATTTTGGTCAAATTACTGCAGAGTATAGGTAACAACTTTGTAACCTTCTTCCTCTTCCAGAGTCTAATCGCAGCTCATGAGCAGTTCAAAGCCACTCTGCCTGAGGCCGATGCAGAGAGACAGGCCATCTTGGGAATCCACAATGAGGTGCAGAAAATTTCCCAGAGCTATGGGATCAAGGCCAACATTAACAACCCCTACAGCTCCATTACAACAGAAGAGCTTCTCAATAAGTGGGAGAAGGTAACTCTCTTAAACTTGCATAACTCTGAAAACATTTATACCTAGGCGTTGCCATATTTTCTTTTTCGAAGGTGGAGCATTTTTTTCAAACGGCTTATACATTTCAGGCATAATGGTGCTATGGGAATATTTAATTATTTTTGCCATTCGGAAAGAGTCAGTTTAGCAATAATATTCAACCTTCTGTACTCCGTTTCCCTTTAGGTGAAGAAGCTGGTTCCTCAGAGAGATGGAGCTCTCCAGGAGGAAATGGCTCGCCAGCATGCCCATGAAAGGTTGAGACGACAGTTTGCTGCCCAGGCTAATCTCATCGGACCCTGGATACAAACCAGGATGGAGGTTTTGATTAAATATGATTTACTTGATTATTGCTTTGTTTTATTATTAATTTATTTTATATAATTGTATTTCATACAATTTCCTTTTTATATATGCAAAAATATGTTTTAATACAAAATAAGACAAAGCATATTTGCAGACTATAATTGATTTTTATGTCTTCAGAAAAGTTTGTTGGCTGTATGCCTCCCTACAGGGTCAGCAGCAAAAGCATCATGTCTTTATACTGACATATAGAACTAAATTGCCCCTACAATTAAGTTTACGCTGTGTTATCCTTTCAGGAAATTGGGCGCTGCTCTCTGGAGATTGGAGGCACACTGGAGGACCAGATGACCCAGCTTAAACAGTTTGAGCATGTCATTGTTGCTTACAAACCGAACATCGACAAACTGGAGGGAGATCACCAGCTAATCCAAGAATCCCTTGTGTTTGACAACAAACACACAAATTACACCATGGAGGCACGGAACAGTACAAAACAGTTTTACAATTGCAAAATGCAACATAAACATGTGCAAACTATCCTTAAGATATTAGAAAGTACTAGTTTATGTGTTTTGAGTAGGTTTACGTGCATATTTGGACACATAGGTTTTTGGATGTATCTGATATTGCATCAGCTGGTTCAGACTTGTGATCTTTGTTTTGATATGTTGTCACATCAACAGCACATCCGTGTTGGATGGGAGCTACTCCTCACGACCATTGCCCGGACGATCAATGAGATTGAAACCCAGATCCTGACCCGAGATGCCAAGGGCATTAGCCAGCAGCAGATGAATGATTTCAGATCTTCTTTCAACCATTTTGACAGGGTACAGAACCTGCTGAATCAAAAACAATAAGATTAGCCCTTATTGTGTGTTTTTAAGTCCTAATTAGGCACCAAGCAAAGGCAACATTCTGCAACTGCCCCAAAAAGTTAATTTTGATTGAAATAATGAATGGATAGCACTTTAACACAACCTTTTGTATCACAAATTTTTGAAAATCATTCATTTCTAACACTACGTTAAGTTGCTCTGTGGAGCGCTCATTACTATGATAGGTTTTGTTATTCCAGAAACATTTTTTGGATTAAACAGACTGGCTCTGTTCCACCTTGCTGGTGTATTGCTTGAATAATTTAGCTCCCCAAAAAATACATTTTCGATAAAAAACAGGCAATATTTCGCAGTGTTAAATATAACTACATGTGTTGTCCAATGTCGTTCAAAATCAAATTTGACAGTTTTAATATCCTATAGTGCAGTGAGACATAAGCATATGTTTTTTGCTTGAAGTAGAAAAGAACTACATTTATTTAATGTACAGAAGGTGCTTTGAACCTATTGTTTTGGCTTACAGTAACTGCTGACTAATCCTTTGTGACTAAACATTTCCTTTCTGTACCTGGAATTTGGCATCTGGCTGCAGAAGAAAAATGGAGCGATGGAAACCGATGACTTCAGAGCCTGTCTCATCTCCATGGGTTATGACTTGGTATGTTATTTGACATCGGTTGTTGGAGGCCATTTCCTGTACATGCACGAACATGTTCTCATTCTCCAATTACATCTGTCTCAGGGAGAGGTGGAGTTTGCCCGTATAATGATGCTGGTCGACGCAAATGGCACTGGCATTGTCTCCTTCCAGTCTTTTATTGACTTTATGACCAGAGAGACTGCTGATACAGACACTGCTGAGCAAGTTGTGGCATCCTTCCGGATCCTGGCAGCTGATAAGGTATCTTAAAGACTATGCGATTTCAGTCAACCTGTTATATCTGTCTCGTTCAATAGCGATAAATGCAAAACGGGAGTGTTTCTACGAACACTAAATAAAAAATGTATTTGTTACACCACAGCCCTACATACTCGTGGATGAGCTTAGGAGGGAACTTCCTCCTGAGCAAGCAGAGTACTGCATCATGAGGATGCCCCCCTTCGCTGGTCCGGGAGCACCACCAGGAGCACTAGACTACGCTGCCTTCTCCACTGCCCTCTATGGAGAGAGCGACCTTTAACTTGACTGACAACCTCTTGTCTTCTGATCATAACTTTTCCCTTTCATCCACGCTTTTCACTCACCATATGTCTAAGTAATTAAATAATTGATGAATTTTTGGATCAAATATGCAGAATGCAATCAGAATATTAATCGAAAGTAGTTTTTTTTGTAATTCGATGCTAAATTGTTTATGTTAAGCATGTTAAGCATAAGAAGCAATGCCATGTTCCTTGGTTCTCTTTGTCCCTGTGTGTAAAAGTGAAATTGCTTCATTTGAATTACATTAGAAAAAACTGGACAAATAATTCTATTAAAAAAATAGATATGATAAAACTGACAACAGTAAGATTATGGTCTTCAGTGCTTTATTTGTTGAGGAACCTAATCCCATTTTTGGCAGTAGTATCATGTACTGTTTTCATGTTTCCATGTACTGTCTAAGTATAAGTTCCTTTGCTTTGGGAATAAAATCTTCTGATAAATTATTTGAGCTGTTTAAAGTGGATTGCAGTTTGCGAAAGCAGTTTCAGGCTCATTGCCATCCATCAATAAACACTGGACTCCCAAAAGGGAATGCTGACATTCCCATAATGCCCAAAAAACAAACAACCAAAAAACACTGCTGCAAACCACATGAATGCCCAAGTAAACGTTTACAGTAGATCAGCGCTTTTAAGGCAAAATGTACAGAGGCCAAAATAACGTACTATTCATATCTAATGACACTGAAGATTCAACGTTTTCTGTTACCAAAATATACACAAGTGCTTACATGTACTTTCAAAATACACATTATTGGCTGGAAAATAATGGAATAGTAAAAACATAAAAATCTAATATTGAATCTAAATTCTCCTTACCATTTCTTGTTTGAAGGTGTCAGCAGTAATAGATAAAAGTGAGTGGGTGTGGGGGGTGCCGACTAAACATTTAAACTTTTGTTTCCTTTTATTCTTGTGCCTATGTCCTGTTGTCTGAATAGCCAGTACTTGATTCATACAATAGTTCTGGTATTGGTAATGATTGACCAAACCTCTGCCAGGACATAATCATAACCTTTTACCCTTAAAAGGTAAAAGGTTATGATTGATTTCTGATGAAAAGTACATCTTTGTCTCTCTCCTTGTAAGAAATACACATCTAATTCTGTTATTGTTGTTTGCCGTGTGTGAGTCGTGAATGGAAGATTAAATTCCAGTGTCACCAAGTGGGATTTTTAGTAGGAAGAATCAATGGCCACACATAACAAACAACAATCTGCTTTAAAATAAACTATTCTTTTGCAGCTAAAAAAACACTGATTCTGACATTAATAATAAAAGAAAGAACCAGTTCCATCTTTTCTCAAAATCTTTGATTAATCATATTTTGGTAGCAAAACAAAAATATTGACAACTTAAGAAATGGTTTGTCTCTCTTTTAAAACAGCCTATCATATTTGCGCATCAGGGTACCAAATCTATTCAATAAACTGTGACAAACAAAATTAGTTCGGTCTGAAGTGTAAGAATAAAACAGCCTATAACTCGAAACCCTTTTGAATAAAAATGCACATGTAGTACAGCAATTATGGTTTCTTTCCCTTAGATTTTCTGCAGGCTGTAGGCTGGATGGATACAGATGTGGATGGAGACACTGATGAAGACAGATCATGATGACATCGGTTGTGTGGGCAAAAATTGGGTGGTTAAAATTAGCTAAATTTGCAAAAAAGTGCAATCTGCAATGTGATTATTTTATTTTGTGGTTTGACAAAAAACATTACACATTATACAAAACATTTGACATGACTGTCACAGTGAATTATTATTATAGGCCTCAAATATAAAAAAATCATACCACTGGTGTTCATAAATATCTCTGGAAACACATAGTTTCCCAAATGTTTGCTGGGCAGAACTGTGCACTTGGTCCTAATTATGGAATGTTTTGTCAGCGTGCAGTTGGTAGTGCTTCCAGTCAGTGCAGATGATTAATTCAAGTCTGTAATTGCTTTTTGCCCTTTTCCTGTGCCAATAATATTTTAGCTAAACAAGCTATATTTGATGAGCTTCAGTGATAAATGTCGGCACAAGACAGAGAATAAAACAGGCGAAGCAGACCAAAGAAGATGACATGTTGTGTTTTGCAGGCAAGACTGAGCTTCTCCATAAGAAATATACTGTTATAAATGCATTTATTTACATAAATTTACTAATTTTAAACCATGTTAAAACATTAACAATAAATTAGATTAAATACACTGCGTATAAATATGATTTCGAAATAGCATATCTAAACAAAACAAAAAGATCTAACAGACATTTTTGTGAGGAAAAGTGATAAATTGCTTATAAAACTGATGAATTGCATTTCACTCATACCTTGTGAACAGTTTTGTCTTGGAATGAGTTTTCAAACATATATTTTGTCTAAAGAAAGCACAGATTTATGCCAGAAATGACATGGTATATTGGTATTTTGTGCATGGATTTTTGTCACAGATTAACAACAACTACAACAAAAAACATAATGTTGAGGACAAAATGCCCACATTTCTTGAATGGGCGGTGCACAAATCAGGCAAATAGTTAATTTAAATAATCTATTTTGAGGTTAGCAAAAATGCCCTCTTTTGGCTTGAGTTCGTGCTGCTGTGATGAGGGCTGGCATTAACCTGTCTTCAGGAGGTGTAGATGCTCTGGTTTATTTCAGAAGACTCCTCCCCCCCCACTTAAGGCCGCAGAGTGCACCTTTTGGCACTTTGTCCGCAGAGCCAGTCAGACGACTAAATCCTGCTAGATGTGGCTCGTTAGGTTGAAACAATGATAGATGCTGGAGAAGGTGACGACGAATTCCAGTTTTTACGAACGGTGAGTGTGACACACTCCAAACAGCTAATATTTAGCCATTTCACCCAATTCACTAAAGTGTTATTAGCCCTGCTGTTTGGAACGGAATAAGGAAATGACAGGTAATTTAGTACAATACAGATCAATGAAATTCTGAGCTGTTTTGTTCAGTCTGTCTAGTAACAAAACAACCAAATTACTGAAGTGTAAAAATCCATGTTTGCTGCTTCGTTGCAGACTTATTGTCTACTGAGATTAGTTTGGCTTGTGCTGGCTTTCTTGTATGGTCCAGATCACTTGAGTTTTGATATCTACATTTTTGTGAATTTGAACTTTTGAGAAAAAATGTATTTTGTTTAAACCTCCTGAGAGGCAAGCATATATTTGGCGTGCATTTTGCCATCACCAAGATAATGGAAATTGTGGGACTTAATAAGTGGTACAAGTAGTTTTACCTAATGTAAGGACAGTGGATTTATCTTTGTATTTAAAAGGTGAATGTATGTATTAAAAAGTTTTTCTTTGCACTATGGTTCTGAATGTCTAAATGAATAACTTTTTCCAGATATCAAACATTAGGGTTTGGTAGTTGAAGCCAATGAGTCCAAGTTGGAAAAAAAAGTATCATGGTGTGCAATGCTCTCATATGTTGACACAGTGCGTTAAATTTAAGTTAACGCTAATTAATTGAGAAGGCTGGCAGAATAAAGTTATGATTTTTGTGTGTTTCTTTACTCTACTCTAAGTAGCACAGTTTTAATCAGATACCCATGTAAAGAACATAAAAATAATAACAAATTATGCCTAATTTAACTCAGCTTGCAGCAGTCAGCTAATCTTGATCACTTTTATTAGTTACTTAAAGTAAAGAAACCCCCCAGATGCTTTTTTATCTTAAAAGGATATGTTATCATTGGGTTTTGGGTTGTAAGTTCTCCTCTCACACCCTGTGATCTCCACCCTCTGATAGGTATGCAAATAAGACATACACGCATATTCAGTGATGGAGATACATGGGAGAAAATTCATTCTGAGATCCATCCATGACAGTGCTGGCATGCATTATTTAATTGAATTTGATGTTTTCAATAGGCACTTGCTCAGGTGTGGCATATGGCATGATTTATTTAGGAGAAACATACTATACAACTGATATCTCTAGCTGATTGAATAAAAGGCTTTAGCGACATAGCATTGCTTCTTGAAGAGGTGATCATCTTTTATGACTCAAGGTGGATGCTTTTCCTTTTGATGACAACTATTGTTGAAATATTTGAATTTCGGTGACACAGTGTTTACTAGCTGTGTGTAAACGGTGCGGGAACTGAGCACTATGGCCATTAGAAGCCCCCCTTCAGAACTTTAGCATTGGGATGTATGTCAGACTGATTGCAAAGTACTGCTGATATGAAGAGTGGAGAGGGTTGAATCGGGGGTCTTCCCAAAATAGAGGTTTGCAGCCTGGGTACAGAGAGGTGTTGGTATTCCTGGTCATCTGTTGTCTTCTTCTGTTGTTCCTTAAATAGATAGAGACACCTATTCAGTTTGACATGGAGATAAGATTAATGAGAAGTGACTGAAATGTACTGTACAACTCATTTCAATCTCTTGCTGTTTGGAAAATCTTACCAGTGTGACAGGCTCAAAGGACAACTCATACACACATTCCTTAGATTCTTTATGATGAGTTTATGGTGCCTCAAAAGGCTACAGTGAATAATAATCATTTCCATGTGTTCTATTTTTCAGGGGGATGAGGTGGTTTTACAGAGTACCTTTACCTCCCAAGGGGAACATTTTAAGCTCTGTCTTGCTGCTGAGGGATTTGGCAGCAGGCTTTGCAGGCTTGAGCAAACCTCCAACTGCAAGGTAAAGAGCTCCACTTCAGTGACCACGGTGCCCTTCATCACTGTCAGCTAGTTCCATTAGTTTGTTATTGTGGCATTAATAGAAATAAGGGAATTGATTCAAATATGAGAAAAAGGCAAAACAATACTTTACGTTGATCTGGGAATGCTCGGCTTGTTATTTACTTTTCTCACTGAATTTGCTGTTGTTATCTAGCTGAAACAGCGTGTTGTCTTCCTTTTGTACCAGAATGTTCCCCCGGACCTGTCTGTTTGTGGCTTTGTCCTGGCCCAGTGTCTCTCTGTCCGAGCCCTGCAGGAGATGCTGGCCCACCGCGAACAGCTGGCTGCAGCAGTGAGTCGGTTGTGTTATTTTCACGCAGTGCACTTTGCTGAGCATGTTTACTGTTTTTGTCCCTTTGTCAAGAAAATGCATTAAATATTATAAAAGCTGTATTAAACATGTTGTTGTCTACCAATAAAGTGCTGCGTCAGATATCTGTGTAATTTAGATGATCTCCTTTCTTTATATCATATTGCATATGTTTTCTTGGTTAGCTATATAGTCACCATGTAACTAATTTGGAAAGGTAGACTGATTAAATACATTCTCAAACACATGGGTGCTTCACTTTCCCCCTCAGTGTTACTGTAACTAAAACTCACACAGTAAAGTATTTTTTTTATTCTATCTGATTCTGCTGTTACCGTTATTTCACTTCATGCTGGTTATCTTGGTCATGATTTACAGGTGGGAGCCGGTGGGAGCCATCGCACCCTGCTTTATGGACAAGCCGTGTTGTTCCTACACTCATACAGCGGCATGGTTAGAGGATTCAAAAGATTCTGTTTATTTTTAAAACTCTTTGCTGAAATATATATTACATCTACTGTTTATGTCTATCCCAGTATCTCAGCTGCTTGTCTTCATCCAAGTCTTCAAATGATAAACTGGCTTTTGATGTTGGTCTGCAACAGGAAAAAGCAGGTGACTGTTTGAGAAAAGTATTCATTTTGCAACCATGTTTTATTCTGTTTTTTGGTATTTATTATTTGTGTGATCTTTCCTTTGAGTAAAATGCTTCTCTTTTAAATGTTTGCTCATATATGTATAGACACACACTCGCTCACACACGTATATATATATATCTATATATAAATGGAGAGAGATTTTGTATCTCGCCTAGGGGAGGCGTGTTGGTGGACTGTCCATCCAGCATCTAGACAGAGGTCGGAAGGTGAAAAAGTGCGTGTTGGAGATGACCTCATATTAGTCAGTGTGTCCTCAGAGAGATATCTGGTAAGTCAGTGCCTCAAAGAGGTCAATCTATTTGCTCTTAAAAGGAAAAAAAGAAATGGTCATACTCTACAAATGAAATGTTTACCATTGATGATATTTTTCTCTTGTGATCAATTTCATATTTTTACTTCCATATTTTCCCCATGTAAAAGTGTAATTAATTTGATTTCTGTTGCTTTCATGCAGAATTTGCCAATCTGTGTTCTCTGGTGCCTCTGATGAGTTGTTTTGCATAATTTTCTCTGATAACAGCTTTTGTGCTTGAAAAATCAGAAGTTTTTTCTTGTTAATGGGTTCCTTTTATCCCCAGCACCTGTCCTTTGGCACCGTGTCTGACAACAGAAACTGCAGCGACAGCCTGATTGTCAATGCAGCCTTCCAGCAGACTCTGTGGAGTGTTGCTCCCATCTGCTCCGGGGGCGCAGTTGTTCGAGGCAAGTTTATTTTTCTTCTTGCTACAGTCAACAGACCATCAATTCATCAAGTTTATGAACTGAGTATGTTTTACTAAAAATATAGCTGTTTCAGAAGGTAAACACTTAATATATGTGTTAACAAGTGTAACATTATAAGTTTTTACCTTAGCCCAACATCCTCCCTGTGTCTCTTTAAGTCACTAAGCTGACGTTTCATGCTTTATCTGTCTGAGTTTGAGCTTCCTTACCATAAAGGCATTAGATGTCTGAAAATATGGTCATCCCCCAAGAAGGTTCCCTTATCTGTTCAGGTGATGTTTGGGAACTTGGTTAAATTACTGTCCAAAGACATTCTGTTTTTTTTTTATCTGGTTGGCCAGACAACCGTTTCTGGAATGAGACAGATACAAATCCTTGTTTAATTTTATATTCCCAGAGGTCACTGGGCCCAATTTAAATATGTAACTTCAGAGGAAGTTTTCCTCACTTGGTCGTTGTCTGTGGCACATCACACGGTGCCGTAGTAATTACCTAGCTCTTTATGCTGTGCCCACTTTTTCGCAGACAGACTGGAGGCCACCTAAAAAGATACCACGCTTGAAATAAAGAGGGAATATTTTACTGAATTTGCCACTTTCTGATTTGTATTTTTTAAATTTAATTTCACATTTAAATGCTAAAGACTCAAGCTTTAAGTTATTTTTATTTGTAACTGAGCAGCTTGGTGATCTGGATACTTACTTATATGTATAGTGTTTAGCACAGAGATACTTTGCAGAAATGTGCAGATGTGATGCCCATCTGTGGGATGCCCTTCTCAAAAAAGGTTTCAATTAGGAAAATAAATGAAGCGGAAATTGTTTAAAGACTTTAGACTTTCGATTACCCACTTGGTAGTCAAGATTAGACGTTAACAAATACAATGTAGCGCTTTGTGGGCTGTTTATCTGATAACCTCCATTGCACAAATGTGGTTAAAAGAATTTTGAGCCATAATGTGTGTGGTTTGTCTTTTTTATATCTAGGATACCTGAGAGGGGGTGAAACATTGCGACTGCTCCACAGCCATAGTGATGCATGTCTGACTGTTCCTTCTGCTGAACAGGGAGAGGAGCTTCAAAGGTCAATGAAAAGATCAGCCTCATTTAATGTCAGATTGAAAAAATAAACATCCTTAACTCTACTTCTGTGACCAAGCCTGTTTTTTCAATCTAGGATAATGCAGTATGAAACAGGATCAGTGTCCAGCCATGCCCGTTCCCTCTGGAGGCTGGAAATCCTCTGTGTTGCGTGAGTGCAAAGATCATTTTAAAAGAAGTTTTGTTTTATGACACAATCTTTGTTTAAAATAATTGTACTTCAAATACAGCTTATAGGCTCCAAAATACGTCTGGACTTTTGGTGGACCTTTTCACCAATTTTACATTTTTAACATATAAACTTTAATGTTGTGAGCTGTGGATTCCTTTGAATGGAAAGCAGCTTTGAAAAACACGGTGTTCTCGATGTTCTTCAGCTGGAGTGGTAGACACACGTGCTGGGGCCAGCCCTTCAGACTGTGCCATGTGACTACAGGGAGGTACCTGGGCCTTACAGAGGAGAAAGGCCTGCATCTGGTTGACCGGGAAAAGGCTGACATCAGCACAACATCCTTTTGCTTCAGATTATCAAAGGTGATGAGTTAAGGGTGATATACAAATGTTCAGTGTTATTAGTTAGTGATTTGAAATTTGAATAAAGAAACAGTTTTGCCCCTGATTTGGGTGGTAAAACACTTTCTGTAACAATTGCTTAAAGGAGCAAAAGTCTGGCACAAAGACCATTACTGATGGGATGGGAGTCCCAGAAATCAAATACGGCGATTCTGTCTGTTACATTCAACACGTAGAGACTGGGCTCTGGCTAACCTATCAAGCTGCTGATACCAAGTGTCGCATGGGAGGAGCTCAGCGAAAGGTAATCCTTTTAAACTGTAATATTCACATTTTCTCTTGCTATATACAGTTACCACTGATACATCAAAAGCGTACCTCAATATCTACATATCCTGACTACCACAGCATGATATCATAAAGAAACAGTTGAGTGGAAGTAATTACAAATGATGTATTTTCAGGCCATTCTGCACAGCGAGGGTCATATGGATGATGGACTGACTCTGTCTCGTTCCCAGAGGGAAGAATCTCACACTGCCAGCCTCATCCGCAGTGCTTCTCTCCTGTTTTCTAAGTTTATAAGGTACTGGATGCTTCTTTCATGGTTTCAGCTGTTGGTGGATGACACACTGACAAAAACGCCTGAACGGGGAAATATTGAAACTTGGAATTGTAATTTTGTGGCTTGATTGTTTTCTCCAATGATAGAGTGAAAATGTATGGTACTTAGACATAATTTTGTTTTCTTGAAATATCTAAAGATTAAAAAAGGAAAGAAAAAACCTTACACATTACATTATGATCTGCTGTGTCATGTAACTACTGAATTACATACTATGCCAGTAACATGTAGAATAAAAAAATAAAAAAATAAGATTTATGCCACTTCCATAAAAGAAAAAAGCTAATATTTGAATACTTATTATTGGAGTTTTCTACTGGGGCGAAATATTTAACTTTCATGTTTGATATAAATAGTGACTCATGCTGTTTCAGTCGATAGTTTTTGATAAGAAAGAAATCAGATTTTCCTTGAAAGATTTGGCACTTTGCAACAAAACTTTGACTCGAATACTGACAGCAAAACAGCAGATTTCCTGAGCCAGCCAGAGAGTTTGAAATCAGGCTTGTTATAACACAAGAGGTTTAAGACTTGGAAAACAAATAATAGAAAAAAATAATCTTGTTCTTTAGGAAGCTGGACAGTTTCAGTCAAGAGGGAAATATTCCTGCAATCCACCTGCCAATGGAGTTGGTAACATGCAGTCTCGAGGATTTAATCAACTATTTCCAGCCGTCACTGGGGGGGCTGAGCAGTGAAGCTAAACAGAAAAACACAGCTGCACTAAGGAAACGGCAGAATATGTTTCAAGAAGAGGTAAATATGGAAATGAGCCTATTAATCTTGAAATTTAAGAAAGCTCATAAACTTTCTGATCGTCCTTTTCTTGGCAGGGTGTGATAGATTTCGTCCTTGACTGTATTGACCATCTGCAACAGTACAGCAGCGCCTCTCATTTTGCTGAGGCTGCGCAAAGTGATGCTGGAGAAGGGTGGGACGCCATCCTCAACCGTTTCTATGAGCTACTGGGTGAGAAGGATCTCATGTTACCTCAAATGATGTCTATAAGTTTGCCTTATAATTTGATTGTTTTTTTTCTCTCCTTTAGCGGCTCTTATCCGAGGGAACCGTGTAAACTGTGCACATTTCGCAAGTTCTGTGGACTGGTTGATAAGCCGGCTTGACAACCTTGAGGCCTCTTCTGGTTGGTAACCCTCTTGATGCAAGTTGCACCTGGAATGAACTTTAAATGCTCATGTAACAATAGATGTTTTAGAAGGTTTTGTAAAATAGAATGCATTATGTATTAAAATAATCCTGATAATCAGTCTTATCTTGAGCATTTGATTTTGGAAGCAGTATTCATATCAAAGATGAGCCTTAAAGCAAAAATGTAGAGTTGAACACAATGAGCTTTACATGTAGTAATATGCTTTTGCATTTACAGGAGTCTTGGAGGTTCTGCACTGTGTCCTTGTGGAGAGTCCTGAGGCACTAAATGTCATCAAAGATGGACACATTCAATCTATCATCTCGTTTCTCGACAAGCATGGACGCAACCACAAGGTAGTAAATAAAAAGATTTTGAGCTTTATGGTATGAATCTAGATTTGTTCTGAAAGGACACCCAGTTTTCTTTGTTTGAATGCATCGTAAAAGGTGCCCTTGAGTTTATGCAGCTGTGCCACAACCAAGAGAGAATTACCGCGGCTGTAACAGCTTTAACAGCTATTAAAAATGAGTCTCTTGATGTTGGATAATTTCCAGTTATTGAACTATTGCTGCATAAAGTGCTGACTGGTTGTGTTCCAGGTGCTGGAGGTGCTGTGCTCTCTGTCTGTGTGTGATAGTGTGGCAGTGCGCTCCAATCAGAACCTCATTTGTGACAGCCTGCTGCCAGACAGAGATTTGCTACTTCAAACACGTCTGGCTAATCAGGTCACCAGGTACTTCATCAAGTTTTTTCCTCCAAATATGACTTTTTCTGTTATTTTTGCTATCTGTCTGTCATTCCATGTTGTCTCTCTTAGTTGATGCACCACCATCAGATACAAAGTTCCTGTCAGAACGATAATGTTTTCATGTCCATTTCAATTTCCAATCAGACATTGACAAAGGCGCTTGCTGCCTGAGGTAACATAAGTCTGCTGAAGTAATCTCAGGAAGGACCATTTCTTTTTACTCTGTTTCAACATATTTCACTATCATCTCTTTCTCTCTTTATATTTAGGAAGGCTGATCCTGACGGATCGCATTAACTGTTTCTATTCAGCTTGTCTTTGAGCTTGCAGTTTTTTTTGTCCTTTTTCATTTTGCTCTCTCCTTTTTTCTCGCTGTTCTCTTTTGGCAATCATTTTTTTGCCACAGAGTTTTTATTTTGTTCAAAGATCTCCACTCTCCATCCCCCAGCTTCCTGTACATTTCTCTTTCCTAAACCTGAACTAAACTGTTCATTTAGTACATCTGTCATCTGTCCTGCCAATGTTCTTCCTCACACTCCACATATTGACAGTTTTGATGCTCTTTTGTATGAATCCTTTCGTCTTCTATAAATTAATTTGGACTTTTATGGTGAACAAGAATTCTGTCCGTCACAGCAAACGTTAACTTGCCTGATTTTTTACATTAACCATTTAACTGGGATTCTGCAGAATGACACAATGAGAAAAGCTTTGGACAGAGATGAGGGTCATAAAAAACACGACACACACCGTTGAAATACTCTGTCCACAATGTAAACTATATCCTTTACATGCTGCGTACAACACACCTTAAAAGTGCTATTCATTGGCCATAAGTTTTTGTAGTTGGATTCTGCTCCTCTCTCATGACAACCAGTTTTTGTATGGTCAAATATTTCACATGTAAACAAATAAGTATTATTAGTAGCAGATGTTACTTAAAAGACATGAGATTCTGTTTCTTGTCTGTTTTGTAGTCTAGTCTTATTGTAACCAAATTATATTGTAAGTCTGAAAATATTATACAATAGATAATGTAACACATTATTTTATCCTCTTTGTTTATTGGTTCTCTCCTTCTACTGTTCCACCACAGTATGAGACCAAACATCTTCCTGGCTATGGGAGAGGCTTCAGCTCAGCATCGGAGGTGGTATTATGAGCTGGTTGTGGATCACGTTGAGCCTTTCCTGACGTCTGAACCGACGCACCTGCGTGTTGGCTGGGCATTTACTAAAGGTTTCCTACCCCGGCCCACGGGAGGAGAGGGCTGGGGAGGGAATGGGGTGGGAGATGACCTCTGCTCTTATGGCTTTGATGGACTGCATCTTTGGTCAGGTGAAGATGAGCTCCGACAGGAGATCCTATATAATCTGTTTTCAGTCTTGTTATGTTTTTATTGTGATCCACACAGATGGACTGAAGTCTTGGCCTTGTAAAACAGGGAGGCCTTCTTTTTTTCTAGATGATATGGAGACAAATCCACTTGTATTTTCAGAGAGAGGCAATCTATCAATCTGTCTGTCTGTCTGTGTGTCTGTCTGTCTGTCTGTCTGTGTGTCTGTCTGTCTGTCTGTCTGTCTGTCTGTCTGTCTGTCTGTCTGT